GTAAGAGACATAGTAACGACTCGAATCTTAAATACGCAACGTCCAAAACCAAGAAACGAAAGCATCGAAAACCATTCTGAGGAGGCATCTATGTTTTACTTATATTTAATGTGGCCGTTGATACTTAAGATTCTAAATAACATGGAAAAAGTTTATACTTTCTTTGGAGATTTGATCGTGTAGGACATAACTTACCACATTGAAGCAGACCACATATTCCAAACAGTAATTGAGTTATCAAAGTGCATATACATATAGATCCAATGGCTGGGTTGACGGTGTCCATTCTTGGGTCAATTTTCAGGCCAAATCCCATTAAAAAGGCATGAATCCTTGGATCGAAATTAGCCCGAACCCTACAGCATCATATTAAAAAGCTAGAAATTACTAACATGGAAACCGGCTGTCTTACGTGGCACGACCGGCGCTGACATGGACATTGATAATAATTTGTCCCTTTTTTTTCTTTTTCATTTTTTTCCTTCTCTTTCCTTTGGCCTGTGACCGGTACTCGGTCATGGCTAGCAATTGGCCACAGGTGAGGGCCGAAGAGGGTGTCACAGCCCTCGCCAGATCTGGCAAAGGCTAAACCCTTGCGGCTTGGGCGAGGATCGCCCTTACAGCCTATGGTGAGGGCTGCCCTCACCAGCTCTAGTGAGGGTTGGACCCCCACGGCCTGGGGCAAGGGTGACCCTCCCCTGTGGCCAACAAGGGCCACGATGCCCTCATCGACCCTCGCTTGTGGCTAGTCGTCGGCCATGGCCGAGTGCCGGCCATGAGCCAAAGGAAAGAGAAGGAAAAAAACAAAAAAGGAAAAAAAAGAAAAAAAGGGAAAAAATTAATAAAAAAAATTGAAATATTATTAACGTCAATGCCGGCCATTTGCCAACCGTGCCATATAGGATGGCCGACGCCAATGTTAGCAATTTCTAGTCTAAGTCGACCAGATGGACTGTGTTGGTACCAATGTGAAAATGTGTGTGATCAAATTGGTCCAATTGAAAGGTTTAGGACTAAATTCGTGCAAATGCAATAGGTTCAAAACTTTTTTAGGTAATTTTCCAGGAGCAAAAAGAAACATAAAAATGCAATGGCAAGTATATTATAGGCAGTAAGTTATTCACAAGGCCACCAAAATGGAGTTCTTCAGGGCTGTCTTGGAGCATGTACTAAGTAACAAGCAAAGCTATTATTTGCTCGATGATAGAAGTACGTTAGTCATGGTCCTCATGTGATAGCCCAAGAGAGAGAATCGAGTGACTGGTGGGTGTACTCAGAATTTTTTTGGTAGATATCAAAACCTTGCATTTCAGTTTCTGAAGCCTAAAAGAAGATTGCTGGAGTACCCACCCATGGGTAGCTCAGTTGGTTAGGGCGTACTTGGGATTGTGTGGTTAGGTGCATTGGTCCCAGGTTCGATTCCCCAGCTGAGCACTTGTGATTTAAGTGGGGGGTCATGGCGGTGGGTTGCTGTGCTAGTCTCCCCCGAGGAATAGTCGAGGTGCGCGCAAGCTGACCCGGACACCTCGGTTATCAAAAAAAAAAAAAAAGAAGATTGCCGGAGTCCAAGATCAGCGTCTCCAAGGAAGGAAGTGTTGGGAAAATTTGATTTCTGATGGAGATGGAGCAGGAGTTTGTAGTTATTTGATACTTTCATGCGGGATGACCTGGGTGTTTTTAAATGCTACATATTCGCTCTAACAGTTTTGGCGTCTTGCAATAATTCGCTCGACGACCTGGGTGTTGCCTAGTTGTTGGAAACTTCATCTGAGGCTCCTACTTTAGAGACGACCAAGACCGAGAGCGATGAAAAGATCTTTGCAGATTGCTCCTCAGTCCTCGTGAAGTTTTTGACCATGTCTAATCTTTCTCTTCTCTCCCTTTTTTCACTCCCAAGTAAGAACGGATGTCCAGACGTTTCTCAGCTTGACTATTCTCATGATCATACGTCAATTGCTCTGTCTTCGCGTATACTGACTACCGCTCCATGCATAGGGTGTGGTAAGCGTCACACCGAAGTTATGCTGAGCAGGAGACGTAGTAGTGACTCGTATCCTAAATATGCAACAATCAAAATCAAGCGATGAAAGCATCGAAAACCATTTTGTGGAGGCGTCTATGTTTTACTTATATTTAATGTGCGCGTTTGATACTTAAGATTCTAAATGACATGGAAAAAGTTTATACTTTCTTTGGAGATTTGATCGCGTAGGACATAACTTACCACATTGAAGCAGACCACATATTTCAGATAGTAATTGAGTCGTCAAAGTGCAGATACATATAGATCCAATGGCTGGTTGACAGTGTCCATTCTTGGGTCAATTTTTAGGCCAAATTCCATTCAAATGGCATGAATCCTTGGATCGAATTTAGCCTGAACTCTACAGCATCGCATTAAAAAAGCATCATCTTTTATGTTTGGGTCAATTCTGGCGTGACGGGCGTTCAAATTCGAAGAAGGTAACGACATTCTGATTTCTTGGAAACTGGGGAGAGACAGAACAACCCATCGAATCTTGCAAGTATCTTCAATTCCGCTAACTATGCTTCAGAATATTGCATTCGAGGCTCGTTTGATTGGTGGATTCTTCTTTAATTTTTTAATGGAGGATGGAATAAAAGGGCACATGACAATGTCGCTTGGTCCTTACACTGTACACAGGTCGATTTTTTCCAAAGCATGACCTTGACTTGGGCGCGGGCCGTTCTTTTTCACACTTACATTGACCCTTGACCCAGACGGTCTGCCACTCTTCATCGTTTAAAACATTTGATTCCTCCCCAATTACAATGTGTAGCTTCCCGGTAATGATCAAAATAATGAACGCAATCATGAAAATGAGTAAAAGACTTATTTATTAACAAAATATTCTAAAATGGGATAACAACACAAATGGTCTCTACATTTTGGCTCAGAGAACAGTGTGGTCCTTGAACTTTGGCCCAGTGTATAACGCGGTCCTTTATTTTTAATTTGTTCAATATAGTCATTGGACTTTTGGTACATATTCAATGTAGTCCCCAAACATATGAAAATATTCATTATTGTCTTTCTATCAGAAACAACATTGAACATGACAACAATGAACATTTTCATATAATTCAAAAACTAGATTAGACATATACCAAAAGTTTTGGAATCACAGTGCACAATGGGTTAAAGTTCACGGTCACATTGAACAAATTAAAAATTGATGAACAACATTACACATTGGACCAATATTCAGAAACCATTGGTGTCACTTTCCTTTTTAAGATCAATAAGAAAAGGCTTCATTACCAAATTGGAACGAGGATAATTACGGCTTTTAGGGACTAGTTGCTTTCCTGTTTCATCAGAGAATTACCAACCTCCAAGATTCATTTGAATATCTAGAACTTGCAACAAATCCGAGATGAGATTTGCCTTGAGAAAATAATCATCAAATTCACTCTATCCTAAAGTAAGTTCTTACAAATTTTTCTAATCACTCTGTCTCCTCATGGTTGATATACTATATAGATAGTCAGGTATGAAATTCAATAATCCTATAGTTGGATCCCTACCCGCTCCATGATCTAAATGCAGAAATTGTAAATAACAGTAATTAATCATCAAAGGCTCATGCCATGAGCATTCTCGATCCTCCATCGATAATTGGAGGTTCTTCTGTGCTTTTTGGATTGTCTCTATCTTAGGAGTGATCAATTCTCGAGTGGATCGGTTTCCAGCCAGTTTGGGTCCGTTTTTCGGTTCTACTCGAAATTTGTTCCATTCATTATTTTTTGTAAATATAATATTTATACGATATACATTAAAGTTGCATAGTTTTACTATGAAACATATATTAGTCAAGTGCTGTCTTGTCTTGAATTTTAATGATTGCAATTGACATAGACCTCACCTAATGATAATCGTTTTTTTTTTTTGGTAACCCAGGAAACCCCCGCACGGCCGACAGCCGGGAGGTAAACCCTGGGGGCGACACGTGCTAGCCACCACATACATGCACCGGTTAAGTCACCCTGCGGCGCCTGGAATTTGAACACCCAACCTTTTGCGAGAGGAAGAGTGCCATTTTCAGCAACGCCACCCAGGCGGGTGGTAAATCTAATGATAATCGTTGATTGACGAGAATTGCAAAGATTATATGACGCATGTATTAGGCCACATTGGTGGCCCCGTAAAGAAGCCAACGCTATCCTACGGGTATTTGTCGATTGCGACTTGAATAATTTGCCTCTCAATCTCACAAGTGGATCTGGGAACCAAACCGATTCTCTTTAGCATCGGCCTTAAACTAGTTGGTCCATTCTAGTTCGGTCGGATTCCCAAGTTGAACCGGACATGGTGCATCCCCCTACACTATTTTGCTTTTCTTGAGATTTTAAATCGGTACTTCTCACGCACAAGCACCATTTTGGACACACATTCAAGGTATGGTGGAGACTAAAATTGCTCAGAGAACAAAATAACGGAGAAAAGAGAATTCTTGGTTGGAGCGTGAGAAGATTTCTAGCTTAGAAATTGGAAGTCACCGGTTTGAATTTCACCAATTGCGTACAAGCTATTCTTAGTCAGAGTCATCCATACATGCTGAAAGTTTGGACTTAACCGGTTCATATGACTTGTAGGATGTTCAGCAATATAAAATATTAGGAAGTTTCAATCGGATTGAAATCGGTGGGATCAATGCATTGAACCATTAGTTTCTTTAAATATCTAATGAAAAACGTACACGTCGCATGGTAAATATGTTTTAATAAGATTTCTTCGCCCACGTAACATTGCTCTCAGCAAATGAAGGGACTTGTGCGTCCTAAATGAAGTCCACGAAATTTATTTTGCTTCCTCTCTTTGTTTCACGTGCATCGACATTGATCGTACACACACATTAACAACTTAAAAATCATTCGCATATTTTTTTTTTCTTTCTTGTGTGTAACACATGGAACGCTCAACCGAGATTCTCTATAAATACTTCAATAACCTCCATAGCAATAGCACTTGCACACATCCTCAAATAGGCAGAGAAGGAGAGATAGAGCGAGGGCGAGAGAGGGAGATGGATATAGAAAAGATCTGCAAGGTTGTGTCGACAGAGATGGGTATAGGGGCGGTCCGCGAGGCCGAGTTGGAAAAGATAGATATAGAAAAGGTTCGCGAGGCCGCATCGGCTCACTATGGGGACTTGACAGACGACGAGAAGCAAGCAGCCCGAAAGTTCTTCGAGGCCATGGACACGGACAAGAGCAACAACATAAGCATCGGCGAGTTCAGGATCTTCCTGAGCCAGGCCAAGATTCAAACCGACAACTGTAATTGGCTCTTCGAAGAGCTGGACAAGGACAAGGACGGCACTCTCGATTTTCAGGAACTGGTCACCTTCTTCTACGTCCTCACCCGCGACGAGTACAAACACCTATTGAACTATAGGCCGAGTACCGACGTACCCGGTCGAAAGGTAAAATTTATAGTTTAGATCAAAATAAATAGACGTCCGACCTTGAGTTTTCAAAGTTTAGAAGGTATATTTGAATCGCTTCTTCCTCCACGTGCGATGGGTAAGGCTAAATTCACGGAATGGCAAGTGCGTTTCCCAAGATGATTCCAAGTAGATATAATGTTCACCTACCTTTTATCGACCTTCGAAAGATTTTAAACACCACACCCACCGCCCCGCCGCCCCCCCCCTCATTACGTAGACAATACATACAAACTTGGTATGCTCAAGTTGGTCCGGAAGATAATCATGTAGATTGTAAAGCAGTTTTCAGACTAATTTCCCTATTAGCAGGAAGAAAGTAATCGCACGAAGATTGGCAGTCAGAAGGTGGGAGGAGCTAATGGCCAAGTAAGATCTCTCTCTCTCTCTCTCAAAATTACCACCTCATGAAGACAAAATCACCGTGACATGATCTGATCCATTTGTCTTTAAATCGTCTCGTCCTTCCTACATAATCTCACTTGAATATTGATGACATGGGAGAATACATGTATCGATCGCAGGGTCCGAAATTGGACAAGGGCTTTTTGTCAGGAGTGTACGACAAGTTAAAGCGCGCGTACAAGGTTGTGGAGTGGGAGAACGAATGCTCCATCGTGTAGGAGTGCTGCAAGCATCGTCGTCCTTCCGAGGCATGGAGGGCCACTTTCTTTCAAGGGAAAGAAGAAACTTTCTGTGTTGTTATCGGTGTGTCGGGTGTTGGAAATAAAGAAGCATGGCGAGTTCTTGTTCCCTCGACCATGGAACGCCCTTTGTTCTTTGTTGTATTCCCATCCAAGTTCCGTCCCATAATGTAACTTCATGTGTTTATGTTGAGGATTTTAAAGAAATCGCAAAAGAGAAGAAAAACATCAAGACTCTATCGCTATTAAAGGCCTAATACCCTAAAAAAAAGTACAACTTTGAGTAAAATCTCAATTCTGTTTCAAACTTTTTTATGTCTAAAAAAAATTACCAACTTTTACTTTAGTCCGAAATCTGCCCTGTGTGCAAAAATGGCCATCGATTTCTTCAAAATTATCAATATCAAGAGGTTGTTGTTGTTCTTTACGAAGGTGAGGGTGTTGGTGAAGAGTTCTGATAATGAACATTTAACTTGTCCTCATATTGATAATTTTGAAGAAATTATTGGCGATGCTTGGAAGCAGTGGTGAATTTGGGATTATAATGAAAGTTTATGATTTGATTTGACAAAAAAGGGTCGCGGCAGGATTCGAATTGGATCTGAAATTTGAGATTTTTAAGGAAAAGCCTTCATTTAAAAGTATTTATTACAAATACCTTGTGTTTTTACAGAACCTTGCACAGCATATAGGGTACAAGATAACATCATACTCTAAAATTTCCTCATACTTACCTATTCTAAACATTTGAAACCTAAAAGCTGCCCTAGATGTCAAATCCCATCAGGAAACCTTCCTATCCTCGCCAGTTTTGCATGTTGATAGGTTCTCGTGTCCGTGCCCACTCAATAACTTTAAGCAACTCATTATTGTGGCCCGAACTTAATCTCTTCTAGTTTAATTGGTATGGTAACAAAATGTGCCAACGACTTGTTAAGCATACTTTATTTAAAAGTTTTATTTTTTTAAAAATACTTATTGCACACTTCATCATAAAAAAAAATGCATCGACAACTACAATACTTCCCTATTTAGGTATTTAACAAGTAAACAAAAACACTCGTTAATATAGTCCTAGTTTATTTTAGTGCTCATGAATTGACCATTTTCTCCGATAAATGGTTTAGGAAGGCACAAACAATTTTTAGGGCAGTGAATTTATTGTATAAGGAAACTTTAAACCTTTTCATGTTCAAATGTTGGATAGCGTGTACAACGTGCACTTATACTGTGGAAGGATAGTGGGTATGCAGAAACAATTATCTTCGATCAAGAAAATATAAAGGAAATTGAGGAATAGAACAGTCAAAGCATATTTATAGTGATTTAGAGCCTGTTTGGTAATCGGTCAAACAATGCATGATTCTATTCTTTTTTTTTCGGGAATAAAAAAAGAATAGAAATCCGTCTGGTAATTTTTTTGTTCCCAGGAATAGTTTTGGAACATAATCAAAAAAAAAAAAGTTGATTCTTGATTTCGGGAACAAGAATTAGAAATAGAAGAGAATTTTTTTCTTCTTTCTTCTGTCCAAGCCTATGGCCGTGATCGATTCTTCTTCTTTCTTGGCCGATGGTCGGCAACCGGCCGCAAGCAAGGGTCTCCCTCGCCGGCGAGGGCGAGGGCGAGGGCTAGACCCTCAAGGCCTGGGCGAGGGCCGCCCTCGCCGAATCTGGTGAGGGCAACCCTCGTCGGCCTCTTCCAACCCTTGCCCGACTTGGTGAGGGTGGTGGCAAGGATCCAACCCTCGTTAGATCCGATAAGGGCAGCCCTCGCCCCCGCTTGTGGCCAATGAGGGCCACGATGCCCTCGCCGGCCATGGGCCAAGGAAGGAGAGGAAGAAAAAAAGAAAAGGAAAAAAAAGAGAAAGAAATGTTAAAACATTCAAAATATCATTAATAAAAAGAAATTTTGTGCAGTTGCTAAATGCATTTTTGTTCTTTTTCTATTCTAGGAATAGAAATTTTGGGCAATTACTAAACGCCTTCAAATGTTTAGAAATTATTTCCGGGAACAAAATAAAAAAATTCAATTCTGAGCAGAAATTGTTTCCAGGAACAAAATGGTTACCAAGCGCATCCTTAGCCTTTCCACTCGGCATGTTCCATTCTCCCTACTATGTAATAATCCTTGAGATATTACAATGTCTTAATATGCTTCCTTTTCTTGTAGCTTGTCTTTTACAGATATAACCAATCCTTACTACTCTTAGCACTCTGTTAATTGATTATAGACGCTCAGACTTCTACTGAGAAATACAATTAGGTTTACACAGCTTCTACTAACAAACACGAGAAGATACAAACTCAGAGCATAGACTAGTTTTGTTCATTTTCCCCAACTCAACTATTGACCGTGGGTTGAATTTATTGCCATTAGACCTCAATGACCATTTTAAATTCAAATCTCACAAGTAGCTGTTGGTTCTGTCATCTACTGTCGTAGATATCATTCTGGAGCTCCGTAAAGATAGTTTCCTAAAATAGTCAGTTTTGCTTCCGTAATAGTCTGCCTGCTACCCTCTATTGTTCGCTTTTTGTGGATTCCTAAAATAGAGTTTGGATCTTCTCTCTAGGATTTTAGAGGCTCGTACTAGAATTATTACTCTATCTGTAGCAAGAACATCTTCTGCAGTCGGGTCCAACAAAACTTCTGAATAAAGAAGCTTATTCTCCTTCAAACTTTTAGGCACTTCCAAGCATATTGACGTCCTTGATATTCTGTAGACTTTCCACTTCTACTTGTTCCATCCAAACTCTAGGACGAACATAAGTCCTCCTCTAGTCTATTTGTCTTCTACTGATTCGTCCAAACTCTTCGACGATCACGCATTCTCTAGTTTGTTGACCATCCTCAAGGTCCTTCTGAACATTGAGATATTCCCTGTCCAACAACTTGTTCTGCATTTGCAAGGTCCATCTAGCCACCAACACATTTCACATATAATAGCTTTTTCACCTCCTATAGAGTAATGGTCTTTCTACATACTTAGACATCTTGTTGTTAACAACATATGAACCTGTTCTGCACACTCAATTACGCATGTTACTATACATACAATGTTTTGTCATCCTCAAAACACCAACAAGTTTTCTCTTCACAACTACTCCCGTTTTTTACGAATACAAAACAATCCACGACATTTCGATATGCACATGCGTTCACACCATGAGATTGAGGGAATTAAGTGCATATTTGCTATTAAACAAGACATCTTTTGCAAATATCATGATCTCCGCTGTGAAATTTGTGGAATAAACACATCCGGTGATAGTAAATAGATTCAATATATTCCTACAAAGAATAGCTCTGCCATCTACCACGCTCCGCGGTTCTCATGAAACATGAGTATATATCACATATAGAGCATATTTACGTTTCACGATCATAAACATGTGATTTGAAGGGATTAGTAAATCTCAAATTTCCTTGCTCTCTTTTAACAGGCAAAGACACACCTTTTTCCTAGCACGAATTTTCGTTTGTTTTTCTTATCATGTATTGCCATAACATGGGGTCAAAAGTCAAATCTTTGAAACCAAAAACAGGCCCAGTGGGCGATGAGGCCCAATCGTCTTCGTCTCGAGCCGACATCTCCATAGGACTCGTCGAGCTCTCGACAATTTCTGCACGCTGAGGTCGCGACATCGAAGAGCTCCGAAATCGCAGCCGATCGTTCTCCTTCGGAAATCGTCGAGAATCTCTCGAGAGGTAAAGCCTCGATTCCCGCTCTCGACAGTGATCCCAGCGGCTTGCCGCCTCGCCGGCCCGTTTCGTGTCGGAACCCTAGTTGTGATCGTCGATCTTGAACTCGAAAAAGTGCAGTTCTTGGTCGTTCTTTCGTGCTCAAGTGGCCGCTTTTTGGTCTTCGTTCCGACCCTTGAATCCGCGCGTGCGCGCGGTCGGGCGAAATTCGTTGGGTGCTTGCTTCTTTTTGCCCTTTTGGGTGTGCTTCGGGAGGTGATCTGCTGCTGTAGTTTTTTGGGGTCTTTGGTTTTTAGTGATCTTTTTTGGTTTTTTCTTGGCTGTGGAGGTCTGAAGCTGGTTGCTGCGGCAATGTCGCGGGTGTACGTTGGGAATTTGGACCCGCGGGTGACAGAGCGGGATCTAGAGGATGAATTCCGTGCTTTCGGTGTTCTTAGAAGGTAAAATTCGAACGTTGCGTGGTCTAAAGGATGGATTTTTCTGTTTAGATTTCGCCCCTTTTGGTTACTGACTAGTTCTGGTTTGTCTCCTTATCGGTTAGGGTTTTGTGGGTACTGCGGAAAACCCTTCGTGTGTGTCTGCTGTTTTATGTTGCTAGCTGATGCGGTACTGTTTTCCATGGGCTTGCTGGCTGTAGATTTTAATTTCTTCGGTGGTTTGAACGCAGTGTCTGGGTTGCTCGGAGGCCACCAGGTTACGCATTTATTGAGTTTGACGACCGAAGAGATGCTCTAGATGCCATTCGTTCCTTGGATGGTCAGTAAAAAGATCCTCTTTTTCTCCCTCTTAGTACGAGATGTCTTCTTTGACCTGCACCCATCTATAACTCAGATTTCTTCCGTTGTAGACACTCACAAATTGTTAATTTCATATGGAAGTTGTTTCTTGTGATCTTTACCTGGATAGTTTGTACAGGTGACTGGTATTGACTTGTTAATTTGGGGGAGTACTTGTATTTTCCCGCGAATTAAACAAGCTGCGGCTGAGTTGTCTGTTTAGAGAACTGTGGTTGAAATGCTACCACCACCGTGCTTAAAAAAAACTTTTTTGACAAGAAAATCTGAGCATATATGAATGATCTATAAATGAAAGCTTGGTTACTGTCATTAGTCTAGTTACGAAGGCTCAGACATTGTTTATTTAGTCGACTGCTGTTTTCGAAATGTTATTTGCATACTCGAATTTTATACTGGGAAAAGCCTTTTCAATAACCCATCTCTGTCTTCATCATGCATTGATCTGTGATTTATTGTTCAGCACTTCTTCGGCCCCGTTTGGTTCAGCATTTGGAATGCTCATTTGGGCTCTAAAGTCCCTTGGTCAAATGCAAATGGTGTTTGGCAATTTTTTTTACTCACTTTGGGGAAATGCAATTGTATTTGGAATGCTCCCCAAGGGACCTTTGGCCAATGCTCCTCCGGAGGTGCTTCGGGAAGTTACATTTTTGAAATGCAACTTGCACTGTTCATCGACACTGATCATCTTCCGCAGACCGAGGTCCGGTGGCCGGCAACCGCTGCCTGAGGGCTAGCCTGACTCCGGTGACCACCGCCTGGGGGTCGCGCGACCCTGGCGACCGCCGCCTGGGGTCGTCGGACCTCGAGCGTCGCCTGGGTCGTGCGACCCAAGCCAGGTCCGGCGTCGCTTGGGTCGCGCGACCCAGGCGACGCCCGAGGTCCGGCGAACCCAGGCGGCAGTCACCGGTGTCACGCGACCCCAGGCGGTGGTGGCCGGCGACCAGATCTGACCGTCAGCGGTTGGCCAGCAACCAGATCTGGCCAGCGGTGGTGGTTAGTGGTTTGGCTCCACCGGAGCTTTTTTTTAAAATATATATATATTAGCAAAAGTCATTTAGCCCAAGATGATTTTAAAAAACACTTACCAAACATTACTTACATTTCAGAAAACCCCTTTAGCCCAAAGGTATTTGCATTCCCCAAAATGCATTCCCCCAAAGTCGAACCAAACGGGCCCTTCATATAGTCAAGAAACTGATAGTTTTTGGGCATTTTAAAGATCAGAGCGTGTCATTAGAATCGCTTACGAACAGACTAAGGAGGAACTGATAAATTCAGTGATGCATATTTAACTAATTTACTAGAGAATAGCGAAGTTGAGCACGACGGACATCCTTTGGTGATTCTACAGTTTAATCTTACTTGCATTATTATCCCACGTATGACATGCTTGTGACTTTTAAAAATCTCCATGAATTAATGCTGGATTTCCAGGAAAGAATGGCTGGCGCGTGGAAGTTTCTCACAACAAGGGTGGTGGAGGCCGTGGCGGTGGCGGTGGGCGTGGACGTGGCTATGGCGGAGGTGAGGACTCCAAGTGTTATGAGTGTGGTGAGCCGGGTCATTTTGCCAGAGAGTGTCGCTCGCGCATTGGTTCGAGAGGCTTGGGAAGTGGACGGCATAGGAGCCCCAGTCCTCGGCGTCGTAGGAGTCCAAGTTATGGGAGAAGGTCTGTTGAATTAGTTTTTTTCCGTGATTGAATTAATTTTCTGTTAGATGCTGCAGTGTGTTTTAGTTTTATTCCTCAATGTCAACACCCTATTTATCGGCATAACAGGATTGTCTCTGCTGACGATTGTTTGATGATGTTTTAGTTTTTTGTAGAATGGGCTTAATGTGGTGCAAGTGTCTCGTGTTCAGATGATATGTTAGCATTTGCTGGCAATAACTTGAGTTGAAATGTCCCTTCTAATTCTGATTTGGGAAAAAGCTCAAGTATTGGTAATTGGAAGTAAAGCTAGACTGAAATAACTCTTTGAGAGAAAAAGAAAACTTTCAATCTGGTTTCCTCTTATGGTGGCAGTTGTACCGCAATAATCAGAAGGGGGATGGAAATCGACTAATGAAAAATGGAAATAAAGATTGAGGAATGAAATAATAACTTCTACATGACCCATTGAAATGCTGAGAGAGGAAGGGTTAGCAGATTTTGGAAGGGGGGAAATTACCATGGATCTTGGCCTTTTTGTATTCAACTGTAAAAAATGAAATTTGATTGAGACCTCTGTCTACGCAACTAGCTCAGTGATAGAGATGTCCAACCTCACTGTTTTGACCCCTGATGTGCCAAGTCTGGTGGTTAATATTTGGTAAAATCACCTTTTTGCTGGCCACATGTTCTAGGAATAGTGATCTAGGTTTTTAATACTGCTTTTGGTTCATTTTTGTGCTCTGTTATGATTTTCTCTCTCCATACTTTATAGTATATACCGGCTGTTTGTGTTTTATGGTAAAAGCCTTCAATTGAACAAGATTAGGAGAATGAGATCGCAATAGTGATTGTTTTTCTTGTAAGAACATAGTATGTGTCATACTTTGATTTTACCTATAAAACTTTCTGTTCTATATGTCTTGTTTGCTGTCCGGTACACTTGGCTTTTTCTTTTTTTGTGATTATATTCATCGATTTGCATAAAATTGCAGGAGCTACAGCCCCCGGGAGAGATCTCCACGCCGCCGCAGCATCACACCTCCTCGACGTGACCGCAGCTATAGCCGTTCCCCTCCGCAGCGCCGTGCTAATCGGGATTCCCCTTATGCCAATGGGTAGGCCTTAAGTTCACCGGTAGACTGCTTTTACTTTATGACAGTCCCCTGGCAATATAACCAAAAGCTGTTAAAGAACTATGTACAAACGTTACTTCAGGAACATGACTTGGGTTGTCACAATCTTTGTCAGGTTCTACTTTTTCTTCTTTTGTTTTTGTGCATTTCAGTAAATGACACCCCTTAGTAGTAGGCTTAGATCATTGGGTTTCTCCAATATGTCAAGGATTAAGATTCCATGCCTTTCAAGAAGTGTAACATTCATTTCATTTCTGCAGGGATTAAGGCTGCATCTTGGTAGAAGCGCATGGCTTATATTAAATGGAGTTGGTAATTGCTGAACCTTCGGCTATGTAGCCTGGTTTGGATGATCGAGTTACGTATGTTGGTGTCCTGACAGTGAAGTAGTTAGGAACTTGGATTCGCATGGCTTCTACAAGTATTTTAGCAAAGGGTGCATAGATGCCACATGTATTTGGCTCGGGCTCTTCAGCTACCGAAACTTTGAAGGTGTTTTTCATACTTAGTTGGCCATGTTCTGATGCTTACATGCTTATGTTACTTTAGCAGTCGTATTGTTACTTTGTTTGGAGTAATTCTAAGACTTTTTACATGTTTGTCTTTTGAGGTTTTCGATTATCGGCTCAAACGGCATGATTTCGCTACTCATTTCATCACTGCTCACGGTTTTCCCCCCTCTGGTTCTCTGCTCCTCTTCACTTCTGCATCAAAACATTTTGTATCTGCAAAGCGAGGAATCTTCTCAGCCAATGACTTTTGTGCTCGCTCCAGCAAAACAAAGCTTGTGATCTAGTTTAGGAGCATACTTGTTGCTTAGCTTATTTGAGAGGATGAAGTTGGTCTTTTGCTTCCTCTGTCTTCACATCTAATCACAGCACACGCGTCTCCTTGTTGTTGTGTTGGACTACTCGTACACCTTGGCTCGAGAATTTGGTGTTAAAATCAGATTGTGAAGCTCTCCTCAGTTACTGGATCTATTTATCTCATATCAGTAGCTCGGATGGTGCAAGGTGCAAATATACACGCAAGGTGAGTCCTGATCCTATGGCTTCTATGAAAACCTGCCGAGAGTTCCAACCCATGAGTCATCTTTTTGTTTACCACCCAAGAGGTCAAATTATCTGGATTACGCTTGGTTTGGAACTTGGTGAGTGCTTTATTGCAGAGAAATTGGTTGGTTCCTTTACAGGGGTTGCCTTCCAAATTCTTTTGTTAAAGGCGCTTATCTCTATATGTTGGCTGGGAAGCATGTCAATGGTCACAGATCTGATGTACTTGGAAGGTTAGAGAACGGCATGTCCTACATGGATGCTCCGGTTGTCGGAGATGTTCGTGTTGTTGAGGATTATTCTCTGTGTAACGGGGCCTTTAAAATGCCCAATCTTAATTCTGGCAGTCCCCTAAGGATGTGTTGCTCCATATTGTTCGGTTCACCTCGTCTGAAGTTCCCACTAGAGCGCCGGAGAACTGCCCTCTCCATATGTAGCCGCTGGAAAGGTCACAACTTTGGTCTCTGCCTGTTCGGGCCCTTTACAAGGCTCGAGGAGTTAAGCAAGCAAATTTTCCACTTGGGTATTTGATCCTGCCAGGGAACCATCGCTGTCTAAGCTATTAGCAGTTCATCAAACTAGTCTGCCACGGAAAGCAGCATATGGTCATGGCAAAAGTACCAGTGTTACTTAGAACAAAACCGTGTGATTTTCTTTCAGAAATTGACAGTGCACCATCGGAGATGTTCTAGTGCGATTGTTAAGCTTGAAGCTACAGGCATATGGCTTGTAGCAAGTAACATGAAACAATTGCCGGAAGGATATTTGAAGCAAGAAAAATAGTTGCCGTAAGGATCAGTATAATCTGGCAAAGACTAATAAATGAAAACGAGTCGAGACTTATGCCAAAGAATTGTAATACCGAGCACAAAACTATTGCCGGAATGAGCGTCAATCACAAAGAACAAGAGTTGCGAGTAATTAGCCGGTGAGCATGAATTCTGACCTGATGTAGGAATATAACATTGCGTCGATCAAGTCCAACACTTCAGATTCAGACAAGAACTATGTAAAACAGCGAGACAGTACTGTTCAGAACCTTTGTGCAAATCCTCAACTCATTCCGGGGACTTTAGCCGAAGGGCCACTTGAACAAGAATGAAAGTTCAATACCGTAATGTCAAAAGAACTGCTCATGAAGCTACTGAAAAATCTCATCGCTTGGCCCCAGAACCGGTTTCCTTTTTCAGAGTTATAGAAATACAGTGACCTGTTCGTCTCCGCCGAGAGAGGTTTGTCCTCGTCTATAGGGGTTTTACAGCACGGTTGAGTTCGACACGCCATATGAAGTCAAAAGAACCGCTCACAGATCGCGCCGCCTGAAAGATCATTACTCCTGGTCAAAATAGTGCCATTAACCGAACGAACCACCCAATGCACCCATCCGAAGACGAATGTAAACCTTTACCCATACGAAGGTGACGGGAAAATTGCTCAGAAAGTCTTAAACCTATTATACGGCAGTTAATTCAGTCATAAATCTTTCAATTATACCAATTTAGTTCCAAACCTTTTGACGATTTACTAATATAGTCATTCTGGCTAATTTTGATTGAAAATTGTTGACATGGACAACAATTGTCTTACATGACATAATCGGTGTTGACCTAGACAATTTTTGCAAATTTTAAAAATATTCGGAATTTTTTTCCCTTTTCTTTTCTTTCCTTTTTTTTTTTTATTTCCCTCCGCAAGCCATGGGCAAGGGTTGCCTTTGTCGGAATTGGTGAGGGCTCACTTGCACGAAAGTGTCATGGCCCTTGCCCAAGCGGCCCCAGGCGAGGGAGGCCCTCACATAGGCGAGCCCTCACTAGAGGCCACGAGGGCGGCCCTTACCCAGGCAATGACCTTTGTTGGCCATCGTCGAGGCCTAGCAGGCGGCGGAAGGAAATAGGAGAAAAGAGAAAATAAAAAGGAAAGAAAAGGAAAGGAAAAAGAGAGTGCCATTCCAAAAATTTACAAAAAATTATCTACGCTAATGCCGACCATGTCATGTAAGATGGCAAGAGTTCACGTCAGTGATTTCTAGTCTAAATTGACCGGAAGGACTTCATTGCCAAAATTTAAAAGGTTTAGAACTAAATTGGCCCACAATTGAAAGGTTTATGCCAATTTACATTCCGACTAATTTTGACCGAAACCGCTGACGTGGACGCCAATCGTCCTACATGGCATAGCCGGCGTTAACCTGGGCAATTTCTAAAATGTTTTTAAATATTCAAATTTTTTTCCTTTTTTTCTCTTTTCTTTTTTTTTCCTATTTCTTTTGGCGAGCCATGGGCGAGGGTCGCCCTTGTTGGAATTGGTGAGGGCTCACCTACGCAAGGGCGTCGCAGCCCTCACCCAGGGGAGGCAAGCGAGGGAGGCCCTCGCATAGATGAGCCCTTGCCAAAGGCTGCAATGGTGGCCCTTGCCTGACTTCGTCGGCCATTGTCGAGGTCCGGCTAGCTACGAAAAGAAAAATAAAAAGGAAAGGAAAGAGAGAGAGTCAAATTCTGAAAATTTTATAAAAATTTACAAAAATTATCCATGTCAATGTCAGCCATGTTACATAAGAATGCCGGAGTCCACGTCAGTGATTTCTAGCCTAAATTAGCTGGAAAGATTTCATTGGCAAATTGTTAAATGGTTTAGAACTAAATTGACACAATTGAAATGTTTAAGACTAAATCCGTCATATAATAGATTTTTGATTTTTTGGACAATTATCCCGAAAAATGACCTTGCCTTTTTTTTTTTCTCTTTTTATTGGCTACGGCAACCATGTCAGTAACAGGCATGAGCATTTAAATCAGTGGAGAGTTGCAAATCATCCTACTTATGTGACGTTTAATACAGAACAAATAGGAAGATTAATGCTTGCATTTGAAGTCATGCCTATAATTGCAAGCCGTCAGTATTTATCGAGAAAACCTTTTTCTTTCTTTTTTAATCAGATTACCAAAGTTTTAGCATTGAAAGAGGGGGTTGTGTAGATTTTGTTTGTCGATATTGTTTCTCTTTCTTAGGAGAACAAAAAACTAGTAACTTTTATTTATTATTCTTAAACAAACCATAGTCCTTGCATGATATCAATACTATGTTTAAGTCAAGAGTATTTCAATTTGGTCTCTCATTGGAAAATACAAACTTGCCCACCATTACACAAAACCTACTATATACAATTCCATTTTCTGTAAAATCACTTTTGCAAGAACTTGTGCCAACGTTACATTCTCATGCCTATTATTTATAAAGAAACTAAAGCTCCGTTCGTTTCGGGGAAAATATGACATTTCTGAAAAATTCTTTCTAGGAAGTCATTTTCCAGAAAAATAACAATATTTTCCGGTGTTCGACTGAAAGCCGGAAAATGAGCTGAAAAATAATTTTCGCCTTTTGGTATCTAATTTGATTTTATGGGGAAAATCACCAAAAAATTTCGATTTGTTAATTATTTGTTAATTTTTAATTATTTTTCTTTTTTTCCTTTTCTTTCTTATTCTTTTTGCATCTTCCTCGGCCGGTCGATGGCCACAGCGATGGCTGATGAGCTCAAGCCTAGCCACAAGCAGGCGAAATCCGAGGAAGAAACAAAAAGAAAAAAAAAGAAAAGGAAAAAAATAAAGAAAAATCGAAAAATTAAAAGCTTGATTTTTTAAAAATAGAAAAAGAAAATAAAAAATAAAAATAAAAGGAAAACATGTTTGTTGAAAGAAAGTGAGGTGAAGGAAGATATGGAAGATGTTTTTCGCTTTTTAGAAAGTAGAAAACATTTTCCCCACTTTTGATTTTTGAAGGTGTTTTTTTTCCATTAGTGGAAAATGTTTTCCATGACTAGTTTATTTTTTGTGAACTGAATGCTAGAAAATCCGAAAAACATTTTTCTAGAATATATTTTCCGCGAAACAAACAGAGCCTAAGGTATTGTTTGTTTTCCATCTCTTTGCTCATTGACATAGAGCATTACACTGTTAAAACTGGGAAACTCCCGTGTAGAGATAGGATGCATGTCTCAATGATAACTTTTCTCACTAATATGCCTAGAGGATTTCGAAGAAAAATAGAAAACGAAGCGAATTCTTCTAACATTCAAGAAAAATTTAAGCAATCTCATGTTTGGGAATTGCAGAAAGTGGAAGATGTGATCTAAAGAGAGCTTCTGAGACATCTCAAGAGCATGGGATGGTTTTGCAAGATGGTCCTGAATTTCAGGTCATTGTGGGCTGCAACACGCTCTCAGCGGACATAGAGAATGAAACCGTGATCCAACACAATCTTATTCGTGGCAAATATTGCTCGAAAATTTACAGAGCTCGAGTCGCTCGTCCATCGCCCAAAAGATCATGCTTGGGTTGTCAAGAGACTGGGAATGAGATGTATTCGACCATTGTTGATCTGGAAGGACTTCTACCTTCATCTATTGTCATGGTTGTTTCCATTACCATCAACCATGGTGGCCAAGCCACTTTTAGAAGAGGACCTTAATGAAACAGTTGATGCATGGGATCGCGCTCTTGCTCGCGATTCAGCAAAAAAGAAGGTCCTTCATTTTGGGGAAAGTAGAACGTGATACATCGCGCAAAATCTTTCTGCCATTGTTGGGAGTGCCATCGTCGAAAACTGATGGGAACTGCCGGAGGGCTCTCGGCATTGGCTGAGATGCCGTCTTGCAATGTCCAGCTTCTCGACGGCGACATCTCGGTTTCGTGTTGGTCACATTGAGCAAACGGAGGTGTTCCGGGCCACCCCGCCTTCTTTGGGAATGCATGCTTGCCGCATGGACTCTAGTAGAGGAGATCCGTTCAGGAAATACAGGGAGGGCGTTAAGGAAGGTGATCCGGACGAATATGTGAAAGTGGCAAGAGCCTCCGCCAGCAAAGCAGCCAAAGCCACTTCCAGTTCCCAGCTTCGAGCCCAACATAGAAACAGGCGGTCGGCGGCTGAGGAAGATGAAGGATTCTCTGTCTCTCTCTCAACGAGTCTTTCATGCATATATGCACTTGGACATGTACGCTGAGCCGTGATTTTTCAGCTACCCAATAACAAAAAATGAGAAGACTAAGCCAACAGATTGAGTTCTGGTGTACCAGAAGAGACTTCTTTAGATGAAGCTGCCATTTCCGCTTTCTGCAGATGATGGAGGAGGTCAAACTACAGTTCTGCGTGCACCGAGCTTCTGTATCCATTGTCATTGATATATAATCTATAGTTAACTTATATCTAATGTTATCAAGTTACTGCCCAAGATTATTTGAGTGAAGACCGCGAGAGTTTCTAATCTAAAAGTGGAAATATTTAGAATTGCTCTATTAATTTGCAGACTTCACGATATAAACTTTCATGATAAATTTTAGAACTACCAAAAACCTTAAACTAATGTCTACCATAACACATTTACTTTAAACTTTCTTTATATAATACCAAAAATCCCAAATTTGTACCGATGTGATACATTTACCCTCCGTCGAAATTTTATCAATATGAACCATTAAAATTTGCATACATGGACGCCAGCAAGCAAATAATGTTAACGTGGTGCCCACGTGACTGAAGTGAAATATAAAAAAAAAACATTTTTTTTGCTTTAAAATCATTTAACATAATCTTGATGAGTGGTAAATATGTGACATAAATATAAGTTTTGAATTTTTTATGTCACAACAAAAAGTTTAAGGAAAATTCGTCACAATGGGCATGATTTGGATTCAAAATAAATGTATCGCAATATGTATAACCTGTGGCTCTTTCCTTACATGTTTTGAAAAGTTTTCGGTGTTTCCCGTTAAATAAAAGGTCAAACCACAAAATCAACGGCGGCGATT